CACGCTGTCTGACAGACTATGTGAAAAGTTTGTGACAGGTGTAAACAGCCCTGATGTTCAAAGAAAGTTGCTGCTCGAGTCAGATCTAACATTAGAAAAAGCAATACAACTTGCAACTTCATTCCAGCAGTCATCCGATGCGGCGAGATCTCTAGCACCCTCAGGGATCCATGCAGTAAACAGCAGGTTAGTCAACAAACACCAACCCCATCAGAGCATTTCAACTTATGCTAAACAACCTGCACGTTCAAATCCTAGATCTAAATCTAGTAATAATGATCAAAAATGTCATCGATGCAAAGGTCCCCATGCATCTCATCGATGCAAGTTCAAGTCAGCAACTTGTTATAAGTGCAGTAAGCAAGGTCACATTGCAAGGCCTGCTTTGCAAAGTCTTCGTCTGTTGCTAAATCTAGCCAGTCAAGACAGTACCGCTGTCACAGGAGGATCAGTGCCTCTACAACCATGTCACAAGTGTCTAACAACATACACTGGTGACAATGTTCCGGTGATAGGAGAGTGTATGGTTCATGTAAGCTATAATGGTCAAAGTGTTAAACTTCCTCTTCTTGTGGTTGAAGGAAATGGACCACCATTACTAGGTAGGAACTGGTTAGTTGATCTTAAGTTAAATTGGGAGAGTATATTTTCAGTGAACAAAGCAAGAGAATCTAGTTTTACTTCAATAGATAAAGTTATATCTGAAAATAAAGGTGTTTTTGGTAATTCAGGATTACTAAATGATAGAACAGTGAAGATAAGCATTAAAGACACAAATCCAAGATACTGCAAAGCTAGAGTTCCACCTTATGCAATGAGGAATAAAATTGAAAATGAGCAAAGTAGATTGGAATCTAATGGCATCATAAAGAAGGTAGACTATTCCGATTGGGCAACGCCCATTGTGCCAGTGTTAAAGAAGGATGGTTCTGTAAGAATTTGTGGAGACTATAAAGCCACACTGAATAAGCAAATAGAGCTAAATAGGTACCCTATTCCTAACATTGAGGAAATTTTTTTGAATTTGGCAGGAGGAGACAAATTCACTGAATTAGACTTTAGTCATGCTTACACTCAACTAGAACTGCATCCAGATTCAAAAGTCTATACGACAATAAACACACATAAAGGACTCTACCAATATGAAAGACTATGTTTTGGTATATCATCTAGCCCTGGAATTTTCCAGGCTGTCATGGACAGTATTTTTAAGGACATTCCAAATGTTTGTGTTTACTTTGACAATGTGTACATAACTGGTAAGAATGACACTGAACATCTTAAAACACTTGATAAAGTCTTGAAAATAGTTGGTGAAAAAGGGTTAAAGATAAACAAAGATAAATGTCAATTCATGCTGACAGAAATTAGTTTTCTTGGTTATATTTTAAGCAAGCAAGGTCTCAGGCCTCAACCTGAGAAAACAAAAGCCATTAAAGAAGCACCCAAACCTGAAAATACCCAACAACTAAGAGCTTTTTTGGGCTTGATAAATTACTATGCGAAGTTCATAGGGAATCTGTCTGGTAAACTATCACCACTGTACAAGCTGCTGCAGAAAAATGCAACTTGGCACTGGGGTAAACAACAAGATGCTGCTTTTAATGCAGCAAAAGAAGCTTTGTCTTCTGACACCTTACTAACTCACTATGACCCAGGGAAAAGACTTATCTTGACATGTGATGCTTCACCAGATGGTGTAGGAGCAGTCTTATCCCACATAGATGAAAAGGGTGACAGACCCATTGCTTTTGCCAGTAGATCTTTGAACCAGGCTGAGAAAAATTATTCTCAGTTAGATAGGGAAGGCTTAGGCATCATTTTTGGTGTTAAGAAATTTCACAAGTTTCTGTTTGGTAAAGAATTCACCATCTTTACAGATCATAAACCATTGCTAGGTTTGTTTGGGGAAAACAAACCCCTGCCTGAGCATGCCTCACCAAGGATTCAAAGATGGGCTATCACACTAACTGCATACAATTATGAATTGAAATACAAACCTGGATCTGAGAATAGTGCAGATAGTCTTAGTCGATTACCTTTAAAAAAACCAAAGCCTTAGTTATGTACCAGAAGATGTATTTGTTCTTTTCACTATCATGGATAACTCCAATATAAATGTGAATGATGTTAAGAGAGAAACACAAAAAGATGAGTGCTTAATAAAAGTATATGAGTACTGTAAGAATGGTTGGCCTGAAGAGTCAGTGAATGATGACTTAAGGCCATATAAAGTAAGAAAAACAGAGTTAAGTCTAGAAGATGGATGTATACTATGGGGGTCAAGAGTTATTATCCCCAAAATGTTACAAAAAGAAGTTTTAAGAACTTTACATGATACTCATCTTGGTTCTTCCAAAATGAAAAGTCTTGCACGATCGTGATTCTGGTGGCCACATATGGATGCTGATATTGAAAAATATGTAAAGCTTTGTTCAAGCTGTGCACAACATTCAAATCAACCAGCTACAGCACCTTTGCAAAACTGGGACTGACCAATCGAACCATGGAAACGTATACATATAGATTTCGCAGGACCCTTCATGAACAAAATGTTCTTAATTGTTATTGATTCACATTCTAAGTGGTTAGAAGTTAAAATCATGAACACAATCACTGCAAGTGATACCATTATTGAACTTAAGGAAATATTTTCAACTCATGGATTACCTGATCAAATTGTTTCAGATAATGGGCCTAGTTTCACTGCTCATGAGTTTAAACTGTTTTGTGTAGCAAATGGTATTGAGCATATAACCACATCACCCTATCATCCTGCTGGGAATGGTTTGGCTGAAAGAGCAGTAGGCATATTCAAAACCGCTATGGTAAAAATGAGTACCGGTAACAAATTTTCTCTCAGAGAAAGAGTAAACAGGTTCTTAGCCAAATACCGCACAACTCCTCATATAACAACAGGTGTTGCACCATGCGAATTGCTATGTGGTAGGAAAATTAAAACTCATCTTGACCTACTACATCCAACTGTTCAAAGGTCTGTTTCCCAACATCAACATACACAAAAAGTAAATCATGACAAAACATCCATTGAAAGAGAATTTGCAGTTAATGATAATGTGTATCTGAGAAATTATGGGAGAGAGGAAAAATGGATACCAGGTCAAATTGTTCAATGTACAGGACCTGTGTCTTATAAAGTAAAAACAAATGATGGACTTATTGTCCGTAGACATGCAGACCAGTTAAAAATAACTTGTGCAGATAATAAGTGTGAATCTATCAATCCCACCAAATCTGATCAGTTCACACCAACTCAGTTTGTTCCACAACCAAGTTCTGTTGATATGAGTGAACCAAGTAGTCTAGAGTCAGAAAATGTAAATTCTGGAATGAATGATTTAGATCCTAGACCTCCTGAGATAGAGAATCCATATGGTCAGAATCTTGAGTCACCAAATCAAAAGCCACTGAGAAGGTCAAACAGGACAATCAAAGTCCCAGATAAGTTAGACCTATGATTTTAAAGGTCAAAAGGACTTTGACATCATTGTTTTGTATTTTAATTATGTTGTAGCATAGTTTGCATTTGTTTGTAAGGATGTAATCTACCATAATATTCATGTTACAATATATTTGGTGATTTTAGGATACTATCAATTGTTCTATTGAGAGATGTGTTGTTGTTTACTAAGGGTAAAGGGATGTAATATATTGAGATTTGTGAAGTCAAGGGAACTCACTCTTCTTGTATTAGTTATATTTATAATGTTGTTATTGAGTGATGTCCCTTGTATTTATCTATCGTTACTTCCTGTTCCGGTCTCCATCATGTTAGCTGAGGCCCAATAAAGTTCTATATACAAACAGCATGGTTTCTGTCGTCAGTGTTTCCAATCTACCACAGTCACCTACCACCAAATCGAATAGTTTTGCATTTTAAGTTTGGTGTCACCCTCTCCCGTAATAATTTTTCAGATAAAAAATTTGTTTGTGAATTATAGGCCTATTTTACTATTTTTCTTTTGTGTTGCCCCTTTAAATTAATTGCGTCAAATACTTCAAACAGTGTGGACCAGTTTCTGTGCGGTCAAAGGGAAATAACAATGAAAATTATTTAACGGGTAATGATTGTCTTTTACTTTAAAGGCATTATTATAATTAGACAAGAGGCTTGGAAGGCTGGTTCCAAATTTTTGTTGCCAGAAAGCATATTTTTCAACCAAAAGTGAATATCTTATAACATTGGTGTAAAAGGACTTCCGGTTTTATTAAGGCTAGAAATAGTCAAACAAATAATTTCAACTAGTAATGTAATAGTAATTTGGAAAACACTTTAGTTTTTCATTTGGATTAGTACAGTCAGGGTGTTGTGGTGATACTATACTACACTATACAGCATAGACCACTATTGTGTATTTTATCATGGATAACAAGTGTTCTGACTTTCATTTACTCTCCCTGGCCATTCCAGTTGACTTCAGTGAGAAGTTGAGGGCAGTTTTTAGAAACATTTGAATTGATAAAATAATTCAAAACAGACTTTCAACCACTTATATTCATTACAAAAATATGAAAACGAGTGTAATTTATGGTTCCCAAACATCTTTAAATTTTTAAAATGTAACAATTACTTGCAATATTTTTTAAAAGATTTTTTTTTTAATTTAGTATGATTAAATATACTTTCCAGGACAATTACAAGTATGTAAAGCATTTGCAGCCAGCTACTTAAGGAGATTATTAAACGTTTTAAGCTATTAAATGTGGAAACTTTTAAAAATTTCTGTAAGGAAGATTGTGCTATGTATTGGTGCTGTTTTTATTTTTCATAAGATCATTGATTTAAGATACCATAACAAGTCAACAATAGACATTTTTGAAAGTTATTTTGTACTGATTTTAATAATTCTATGGGGTTTTTGTTTCTAGGTTTAAGAAAAAAAAATCTTTTAGTTTAATAATTAATTGTGACCCACATTATTAATCATTTTGTGAACAAGACCACAAAAATCAAATAATTAAATCAAAATTCTTTTGATCGTAAAATTTTATTTTCAAACATTAAAATCTAAATTTGAGGCCACATATAAATGATATATGGTTAGAATGATTTAAATTTGATATCACTTATCAAAGCTATGTGATCAGAAGGAAACACAACACTAGGTAGGGCAATGTTTTGAGTGACATCCTCATGGCTTGGCATGGGCACTACTTGTGTGACCTGGAGCTTGTCAGTGTCTATAAATATATAGTCCAGAGTTGCCTGGAAGCCTTGTGTGAAGTTGGTGTAGGCTGGCGTACCACAAGCACTCACTATATTCATTGGGTGCTGCAGTTCCAGGGTAGACAACTTTTCTTCTTTGCCAGCTAGATGACAAAGGGAGACAATTGGGAGTTATATAGCTTTATGTTGATCATAATTTGTAAAGCTATTTAATTTAAAAGAGTGAAACAAAATTAATAAAAGTAGTTCAACAATTAGTATAAAAAACAAACACAGTAAGAGGTAAATCTTTGGAATATTAGAATAAGTGTAAAATATAAAATTCATTTTAAACTTATTTTAAAAACCATAAACATGGGTGAGGGATGATATTTCTGGCTTCCATGTTTATCTAAACTTTAGATTTCCTTCCTTGTCTGAAACCAAAATTATGAACAAGTCTGTTAAACTTAGCTATAAATCTGCTTGCACCTGTGGAAGGTCTACCGTCTCACCTGTCATACACTCCCTTACCTGAACTCCAGTCGGCATGATCAGCTGGAATAAACTGTGAGGTCATTAACTGAAAGACACCCAAGTGAGGTGCGCTGTTGAAGTCTCCACAAAACACCAGAGAAATATCTTTATTCTGTCAGCGCCACAAAGAAAAAAAACTTGAATTTATCAGTGTACATTGTAACATGTTTTAAAATTAATCATCTAACAATAAATGAAACATGTTAATGACCTCTGCCAATGACCTACTATAAGCTACAAACTACATCTAGCTCTTATTAACTTGAGATATATCAGTGGAATACAGCCTAACAATGAGCTACTATACCTATGACTGACCTATGACCTATCAATGACCAGCTATCTATGACCTACCAAAGACCTACCTCTTGTGTGTAAGCATTGTAAATACTCTGTAGATGCCGGAGTGCAGTGGCCACATGGATCAGGCGGATGTTGCAGGCAGTTGGATGAAAGTACAGGTGAGTGTTGGCAAGGCAAACAAATTTACCTGGTTTTTCAACACTTTCAACCACAGTTACCTGAAATCAAATCATTTTATAATTTTTTTTCTTATATGTAACAAAAAAATTAGAGTGAAATTTTAATTTTTTTTTTAAACAGTCAAAATATTAGATATGTCATCCCATTAGTTATTTACTTTAAAAAAATAGTTGAGATATCCTTTACTAAAATAAATCAGGGGAGACAAATCACTAACCAAAACAACACCAATAAAGAGTCAAAGCCTTATGAACACAACAAAAGTAGTGGCACAAATTCTTTGCTAAACGACAAAAGTAGAGAGACATATCCTTGACTAAAACAAAACTGGTGAGACAAGTCCTCAAATGTAGAATTTCTAACATAAGATTCCCTGCTGTAGATTGTTAAACAAGATGATATTAGTGTAAACAAACCTGCAGTATAGAAGATCTCTGCTCAATCCTTTCTTTCAACTGCTGATTTTTGCTGACCTCTGTCCAGATATCCAAACAGCTCTGGTCAGTTGATAAGTACTCTGACAAGTTGATGTCCAGTTCATTCACTATCCTAAAAAGATTTGCAGTTAACTTAATATTATTATCCAATCTATTTACCACTTTATAAAACAAATACTGATTCGACTTATCAATAAGCAAACAAGTTATTTAAAAAGCTGTCATAAAGTAGAATGCAGAGATGTGTATGCACTTTTTTAATTTTTTTCTGAGGTTGGGGTAATCAAAGCAGACAAAATTTACAATTTGAAACAGCCTAAACTGTAACTGTGAAGCAGCACATGAAAGGGCATGCCAGATAAAACTGTAGAGACCCACCTAAATTTATCTTCTCTGATAAAATGGGCACATCCCTCAGACACTTGGCCAGTCTTGGGTCTAAAGAGACCTGTATAACCTAGAGCAGTCAGAGCAGGGGACAGCTGGGAGCTGAAGATAGCTTTGTCAACTTCCTGTAAACAAATCAGGTCTCCTTGGTAACCTGCAGGAAATGTTTTTAGTTTCAATATCTGAGACATGGTTGTGTGTGAAGCTTATAATGGCTAAGCTTAAGATGCCTAGTTCAAATCCTGGTCAAACAACTGCTTTGGTTCTGAGTGTAGACAATAATGTGTCTATTCTTAGCATCTGACATTAGCTAACAAAAAGGGAAATTTTCAATCTTCACATTGTACTTGCAGGTGAACACTACTACATCTGCACTGAAAAATGCTCATTTTTCAAGATAAATCAGAAATTATTATAAAATAAATTATGTTAAGAGTACCATAAAATTATTTTTTCAAACCACCTATAATTTCCTTCAGTAAAAGATGTTTTCTGTAGTCCATGTCTAAAGCTTTCAAAGAACAATGACTGAATAACTCTGTCTTGGCTAGATCAGTATCAGCATAAATCTGGGCAAGTAGGTTGTAACTAACAACACGAAAACTGAGGAAAAAAATAATTCAACATTAAAAAGTATTATACACAAAGTAAAACACAACATACACAAGCTGGTTATAATTCAGAACATAATAACTGAGAAAAGGAAAAAAGTAAATCTTCTATAGTTATTATAGCGTAAAATTAACTCAGCTTAAAGAGTTTAAGAGTTTAAAAAATCTTTTCTAGCCAAATAGAATGAACATGTATACAAACTCCCTAGTTTACAAGTGATGGAACCTACTGCTGAGGCGGAGCTCGAAGTTTTGTGAATTCATGCCGTTTTTCAAAAGGACAAGAACCTGGTCCTTGTGTTACAGGCACTGAAGATAAAACAGCTTCTCTCTTGCCTGTCTTTTCTCCATGTTTTGGAACACAAATCAGCAAAATGTATTGTCCAATATGATTTGTCTCTGGTGTGAAACTATGACTCCTAACTGCTTCTGTTAAATCAATTATACTTCGACTCAATTCCATTTTTGTTTTGCTTAATTTTTTTTCTTCAATGACCTTCCAATAAAACTCGCAGTCTCTTAACTGGGCAAATTCCAACTCAGCTTCTGGAAATAAAGGAAACCCAACCATAATGGTAGAAGGTAAGTTCTGCAGTTTAACACAAGGGGGGTTGTAACATATTGGTATCTCCTCTTGTCCAATTTTCAATATTGCCCCATTTATCCAAGCTTCCTGATTTCTTACATCTAAATCAAGGGTAACTCCATTATGAATTATCTCCACGTTGAAATTATTTTCGTGCTCTGGCACAGTTTCTGATTGGGAGCTGGCTCCTGTCTGAAGTTGATCTTCAGTACCTTTTTTCTTTTTTAGTTTTGATTTTTTTGCAATTTTCTTAGATAAATTTATCCGCAGCCTTTCGATGGCAAATCTTAATTCTTCACTTTTAAGTCTAGACAAATTTAAAGACTTAACAGACCCACTATTAGGGTCCGCTACATCCAAAGTAATTTGAAGTCTCTCATCACCTTCAAAATTTTTTATATAAACTGACGACATGGTTGATCTATGTAATTTATTAACAGCTTGTGAATTTATTGTACGTCTCACAAACTGTAAATATGTAGGTCTAGTCCTAATTCCGATAATGCATTTGGTTAATAAAGCGTTCAAGTGGGTAGTTAAACTTAGAGGAAGTGTCATAATAAAGAGGATACGTTAGTCCAATAAAGAAAGTATCCACCGTCAGCAGTCGATAGCTGTCTAACCGGAACTTTGATTCTGAAAGTAGAAAATTTGGAAAGTACCCAATTTACCGTCGAGTGCCAAAAAGAATAACTAACTTTTAACTTTTAACTTAGCCTAGTTGTTAAAGTTGTATATTTGCATTATAATAAACAGCGCACTATGGCCTAGTCTATCTACTTTTAAATTTGCTAAAGTCAGTCCAGTGAGATAGGCATTCCACGCTTCCGTTCATGAGAATATCATAAAAACACCAATATAATTAGGCTAAATTAGGCCTATATATTTATACATATAGAATCTAGCTAGTTTGCGCAAATTTAGTAAAATTCGCCTTTTAAACATTGGATGTTATTTTTTAAGCTTTCGTAAACAAAATTAACTGTTTTAATAATTCAAGCTTACAAAATTGTAAGGGTTTTTTTTTCTTTTTTAACGTTCTGCTGGATCTAGAACAAAGTCAGAACTTTAAACTATTATTATATTAATACAGCATTTAAACACTTAGTTTTAGTAGTTATCATATATTTATGAGTTTTTTTATTTAGGAAAAATTATCCTTAACTCATCACACATATGTAATGAGAATGCTATTTATGTGAATTATGCTAGCCTTTTGTTTTAAATATGATTTTATAAATTTTCTTACCAGTTCTTTCCGAGTATTCCTATTTTTAATTATAAAAAAATACATTGTACAAATAGATGGCTGCATTCTATATGCATAAATTAAATAACACGTAGGCATAGGATTTGTTCACGATTAAACAATTTTATTTTCATAAAATCCAATCTGGCAAGTATAATTTTACTCACGGGCTTGATGCCAGGTTATTCAGGTGCTCAATGAAAATACTGCCAATGAAAGCTCACGTCTTTTCTCTAAAATATTTTCGTTCGGGGTCGAAAGGAAAAATTATTTTCATGCAGAACAATTAAAATTGCTGGGCTAATTCATGTTCTGTAGTATTAAAATACTATAATTTTAACATTGTGGTTATTATTTTACTGAGACACTTTTGCTTTTATTGTCTTTTAAGATCTAACATTCTAAAAATAAAATGTTGACTTTATACTTGCATTTTTCCAATATCCTTTCGACCTGAACTGGAAGTCAACATCCATGATCGGAAAGGAAATTTTACTGAAAGGTTGTTATCAACATTACAAGGATCGTATCTATCTTAGAGTTTACTTAATAGCTGACACAGAAGGACTAAGTAGAGAATATGTGACCACACTGGGAGTAAACCCTGGTGTCAGCTGTTTCTATGGCTTCGTTTTTGGTTAGTTGTAGTGCTAGGGAGCATCCTCAAAGACAAAGATGGCGCTTGCATCTTCTCAGTTTCAGGAATTTGTAGAGACCGCTTTGCCTGCTGTTTCTCAGGTATATTCCGTTCTCATTGTCATAGTCATGTGTTCGTTATTTTTGAAAAATTGCTTAGCCTTACATCAATATAGTATATAGGCTTAAGTACAAATAAGTCTTCAGCATTTATTTAACTACGCTAGTTATCTATTATCACCCAAGTTACACACTCATCAAAATCACAATGATTCCAATGAATGAGTGGTCTTTTAATTACTTTTTATTCTTTCTAAAGTCAGCAGCTAAAGAGTAGCTAGATCTAGATCTATAGGCCTAGTTTTTTTCAATTGTAGTCAAGCCAAATTTAATTTATAAGTTAGATAGGCTTTTACATAGTTTTATTAGGCCTATATTAGATCTATAATAAAACATATTAACTTATTCTACCTCATAAATCTGTTATTAATTTCAAATTAATTAGGCTTCTGCAGGCATTTTAGTCACATAGTCAGAGTTTCTTCCAGGCATCTCTTCGGGGGGGCTTTGCCCCCCCGAAAATTTTTTACCGCCCCCCCCCCCCCCCCCCCCCCCCCCCCGAACGAAGTGAAATTTATATAATTTATATAGAAAATATATACTTTTAACAGTGTCCGCCCCCCCGAAGAAAGTTTACCGCCCCCCCGAAGATTTCAACTGCCCCCCCGGAGAAAAAAGTCTGGAAGAAACACTGCACATAGTCCAGCTATTAGATATAGATCTATTTATAGTCTAATAGATCTAATCATAATTGAATTGGTATGGAGGTTTCACTTTTTAGTGTAAGCCTATCTAAATATTAGTAAATATTCTATAATCTATAATTGTAAGTTAGTTGTCTAATTATGAAATTTCAGATGTAGCTACTACCTAATGCTGATTTTTATACATGGTACCCATTTGTTCAAGGTAAAAAAAAAAGTTGAGAGGGTGGGGGGAGGAAGAAGAGTTACCATGACTATAAAAAGTAGCTTGCTGATTTTTTTTAGAATTTTAAGGGAGATAAGTGTCTCTAAAATATAACAGGACCTCCTAGTATGGGATCTATATTGATCTATTGTTTTTATAGTCTTTTTTCATTAAATAAAGATTATGTGATATAGGCCTACTTTAGTTCTATTTAATCAAACACATTTTAATAACTGCCAAGATATAGCAATCGGCCAATCGCCTTTATCCAACAAAACAAACCGTATTTTTAAAAAGTATGTTCAAAATTCTTCATATTTTATAGATAACCAACTTCAACACCTTGTGCTTAAAATAATTATACAGAACAATTTGATTAAACTACTTTTTTTTTTGTATACTTAATCAGTTAAATATGAATAGTTTGTATATTTCAAGAGCTTGACCAACCTCTTATGGTAGTTAGTCACTTGTTAGGCCAGTTTATTACATTTTAAGGCATTTCTCTGAGATATTTAAATATTTTTTTTAGACTCACTAGATCTCATTTTATACTTTTATTGTAAGACATTAATGAATTTCCTTAAAATAGAATTCTATTTTAGCTTGCTGACCTTATTATTCCTTCTGCTCTTATACTTTATTATATATCTTCGTTATCAATATAATTTTACTTACTAGTTATTCAGATGCTCAATGAAAATACTTCCAACATTGGTGTTTGATTACTTTTCTTTTTTTTTTTTGGATATTTCAAAATGATATTCTTATTTAAAATTTATTTATTTATAGGCCTAATATTTTTCTGATTCAATTTCAATACATAAATTAGTTTTGGATTTTAAAATTCTAATTTTGTGCATTTTACCTATATTCTACCTATATTTTTGTATACCACAATTTAATACTATTTAGTTTAAATAACTCACATAAATTAATTCCAATTCACAAAATACACAGTTCAATTTGAATAAAATATACAAATTGCTTCCCTTTAGCTTGCTCCAGGTTTAAAAGCACTATGGTCTTGTTATTCTAAAGTTAGAACTAAAACTCAGTGTGTGTGTATAATTAGTGTTTACACTGTAGCTGACTATAATTCCATTACATCACATTTTTGCATTTTTAAATAAACTATTGATGTAATTTTCAATGTACACAAACTTTTGAGCCGTTTCTTTTATTATTTTTTGAATAAGTGGATGTTTGTCTTTTCTGTTTCATATTTCTATGTATTATGAATTTTAAAAATAACTTCCAATGGTCTGATTTTTTTTTTTATTCTGCCGGTACCAATAAATAATGTCACTTTTGAATTTATTTGTCAAGTTAGTAAATTTTTAGATTTCTAATTAAATTGGCAGGATATTGTAACATTGTTCTGATCACAACTAGAGTCTGTAAAATATTCATCAGCATACCCAGGTCAGATGGGCATTAAATTTACAATATGGCATAGAACTGACCTCACTATCCCTTTATATTCTTCACTTCACATGCCCTAAGACCATCAGGATCTAAAGTGTATCTTTACTCTTTTCTATGTTTTTATGAATAGGAGTTCTGTACAGTATTTTTAAAATGTTAATAAACTATGTTTCTTTTTGTTTTAAAGATTCTTATGTCTTTAATTTTTATCTTAACTTTTGTTTTTAATTTATAATCGTTTAGCATTTTTACAACATTGCATAATCCTGTAGTTTTTATTATAATTTTTTAACCTTAATTTCATTTTTTAAATTATATTTACATCTATTTTTAATTTAAAAAGTACCTTTTGAATCAGTTTTTCTTTAAGTAAACCCCTACAACAAGTTTCTTAAAATGGAAACTATAAAGCAAACTATTTTTTTTAAGCAGGGCAAGGGAGGCAAAAGAAAAGGCAAATTCAATAAACGTTCTGACGGCAGTTTTTCAGACAGCTCCAACAGTTTTATACGTCAAGTAAGTTTTTTTTTTATATATATGTTGTCACATTTTAACAGGTTTTTGTAATAATTACTTATTCCACAATCAATAACATCAGTGCAGACCATTAGCTACGGAAACAAAATTTTCCCTACAATATTATCATTACTCTGAAGTTTCAGCAAAACATAGATTCAAAGTTCATTAAAGTTGACTTTAAAATTCAGCAGTTAGTTCTATAGCTTAATAAAAGATTCTGCTATGTACCTAGCAGCCATTTTATTAAAATGAACTTAAAATATTTTTTTTCTCCTAATTTGATAATACATTTCTTTTGAGTAATGGCTACTGTTCTAGAGATATGATTTATTTAATAATTCAACAAAAAAAATGGAGTGCACTAATACCGAGAATCCCAGGTTGTGAATAGTTGAACTAACAAAACTGTTTTGAATAACTTAACCTTTTTTTTTTCTTTTCAAATTTATAAGCAGCATCACATACCTTTTTGACAGATCTTAGTGTTGTGTTTACCTCTGCCATAAATTTATTGTTAGAACAAGAATTTTTTTTTTAACGCTGGGCATGCTGCTCATAATCCGTGGAACACACAAGCAAATTAACAGGTATATGAACAACAGCGGATTTATAACCGTAAACTGTTATTAACTAATTAATGTGGGAATACAGAGAAGAAAAAACTGCACTCTAATCATGTTGGAAAAAATTAGAACCAATTCTCATCAGCAATTGAAAATTTGAAAGCTTTGAACATTCAGATGCTGTAGTTTCTTTCTTTTATTTTTTTTATTAAAACCCCAGGCTAATTTTTAATGCAAAATACTCTGGATATACTTTTCTAGTAAACATA